AGAGAGAGAGAGAGAGAGAGAGAGAGAGAGAGAGAGAGAGAGAGAGAGAGAAAGACAAAGAAAGAGAGAGAGAGTGTGTGTGTGTGTGTGCGCGCATGTGTGTGTGTACATACATAATCATATGTGTGTGTGAGTTTGCACACGTGTAAATGTGTGTAAATGTACACATACATTTTGTATCTTATACATGTAATGCTGTATTTGTGCATATATAATTAGAGTAGAGTGAGCTTTCTTTTTTGTACCATTGGTTTACACGACATGTGTAAGAATGAAAGAAGTGCATGCATGCATGCACAGCGTAAGTGAGAGTTGTACACGAGACACACTCATGACACACTAGAGATGTGTACATGAGTCGCCAAAGAAATAATATAGGTAAGTCGATATCATATGTCTACGAGATACTTACCAGACCGTACTTTCCCAGCTTCTGCAGTACCGTCCGGTAGTACCAGGTCTGTTTCATCTCTGATGGGATGCTCTGAAGTAGGTCAGTGTACCTGAAGGGCAGGGGGGGGGGGGGCACAAGAGTGTCAGTTTTAGCTTTAGTAAGGTTTATACGTCACTCACAACTGCATTAGGTCATATGAGCGCCAAGAGGTGGATGTCAACAGAGAAGTCCAAACGGGGAACCAGGCTTACTTTGCTGACCTCTCTAGCCTCAACAGCACAAAGTCTGCTTTGACTATTAAGGCACCCCTGAAATAGCAGTTCTCAAGAGAGTGACAAACATATAAAAGAAGTAGAGGCAAAATGACGATAAAAAGGAAGAGGAAAGAAAACGCAGCAGCTACCCCTATGTTGTTTCGACACAGTATGAGTATGACATTGATAGATCAGCCCATTTACAATTCTACTGTGCATAAGAACATGTTACCATACCCCCTTTTGGGAATGTCCTATAGAAACTTCAGTCAGTAGCACTGTCCTGACGTGGGGTAGTCGATGTTTGTTACATCAGTGTGTAGGGTTTGTGTGTGTGTGTAGTAATACGTGAAATCAGGCACTAGTCAAAATAATGAAATCAAAGAAATTAGTATTTTTCTGGCCCCTGGGCACTTTTTTCAAAAGTCCAAATTTTTGTGGCTCGACACCTTTTATGTCTATTTAAAAATACATAACTATAAAATTTTACAAAAAACGTTGATCAAAGGCACAAAAAAGGAAATTTTGTGTAATTTCCAGTCACACTTAAGCTTTGGAAGTGACTTAACTTTGGCTTCCATTTTCTCGTTAATTTTACCTCTAACACTATTCGAACCCCACCTCCTTCGATTATAAATTTCTCGACTTCTATTCATGATAGATAAATATTTTTTCAATCAAATGCAAGAGAAAAGTACAAGCTTTAAGATGATTCCAATAAATTCGTATACCCCAAAACTGACGAGCACCCAATTATTCAAGTGCGTCATAAAAAAAATATATAAGTAATAGCAGAGTGACACAGGGTTTACAGTCTTAATCTGTATTAATGAAAGGCTCACCATAAGGAACCTATCATGATCAACATCAAGTGTTAAATCTGGGACAGATCACCGGCAATCATGGTTCTTCATTCATTTCTTTGCTCAGATGCTCTCAAAAAGGTACGTTATCCTGATCTCTCCCTGTTACCCATCTGTTTAGGTTTTCCAGGTCCAGGTAAGTTGCTCTGGGTCTCCCCCTGCCTGGTTCGCCAAAATTTTTCCATTGAAAGCTAGATTTTCAAGGCCTCCATGTCTATTCAACATAATATGGTCTAAAAAAAAGATGAATCAGTTTGATTTCAGTTAAATTGATGTATATGACAACAAAAGGATGACTTACTTTGATTTTTGGCACATCGTCAAAAAATAAAAAGGATGATTCTCAAAAAGATTACTTCATTTGGCATGTGACAAAACAAAGAGTGATTTGCTGGACAAACTTTTTTAGATCAGGAGCCACTTTGATGTGGCAATAAACAACATATGGTCCCATCTTTTCTAACATAGTGTGCTAGGTAATACATGTGTTAGTTTTCTTTCATATAAAGTACACAAAAGGGTAAACTGCACCAATCAAAGCAATAAAATGACCAATTTAAAAAACCCAACTTAATCACAAATAAACTTGATAATAGGCTACTTGCTAGGAAGAAAGGTTTGGCCTTTTTGTTTTGTTTGCGGAAGTTTATAGACAAGTAAGATGAAGTGTGCGAAAATTTATCGATATCTAATTGGTCGCTTTTAAGGACAAGCGGACTAACCCAGATTTCGGAGGTTTCCAGAAATCTTGACGTACACCAAAAGTGGGCATTGCCCTACCAATAGGAGACGTTTGGTTTCTTTGGTGTGCATATTTGATTGGTTATAGAGAAAACTCGCCTTGTCTTTTAAAGAAACTGAACAAGGGACCAAAACAGCATTTTTCGGGATAGCCCCCTTGTGCTTAAAAGTGACTATATATCTGAGCTTCTCTCTATCTCTCTCACCAGTTGCCTCTGAAAGACGACTGTCTCCGCACCTCTCCCGGTCTTGAGATCAGCCTTTCCCCGTCTCGCCGCATCTCCTCCAGCGCTCGGTGCAGGCTCATGGAGCGTGTCTGTAGGCTGCTGAACTTGTTCTGGCACTTGCTGAGTCGTTCTCTGGAACAAAGATGCATGTGATTGTAAGCCTACTTGTGTGTGCATGTGTGTGCACGTGTGTACGTGTGTGTGTTTGTGTGTGTGTGTGTGTGTGTGTGTGTGTGTGTGTGTGTGTGTGTGTGTGTGTGTGTGTGTGTGTGTGTGTGTGTGTGCGTGTGCGTGTGTGTGTACTCGTGGTGGAACACCAAACCAATGTGCCAGGATCTGGACAATAAAGATGTATCTTATCTTATCTTATCTTAAAAAGAGGGGGGAGGGGGATGGGGAGGGGGGGTGGTGGTGGTGGACAATACAGAAGTGAGTAATAATTATGTTGGGATTGATTTGAGTTTTTGACATTCTCAGAGATTTGTGTAAGGGATGTTCTGAGATAATTGTAATTTTTGACATTCGGAGAAAATTGTATTTTTGGCATTCCGAGAGAATTGTGTTTTTGACATTCTTGGAGAATTGTGTTTTTGACTTTCGGAAAGACGAGTGTGGGTACACCCCAAATGATATGTGTTGAAGACATTCTGCCAAATGATTATCAACTACACAGAAAGCAGCCATTTTCTTCTCACCTGTCCATCTGCTCCAGAATATCGTGCAGCGTCATGGCTTTGTCGTCGTGAACTTCCTTGAACCTGTTGTGAAGCGTCTGACGTAGGTCGTTGTAGCGATTGCTAGGCTTGGTAGCGTGGAATTCGATAAGCTCAGCCGAACTGGACATATGGCAAATGACATTACATAAAGTGGGGTGGAGTGAATGGGGTAAAGGGGGAGGTGAAGTGGAGGGGGTGGAGAGGAAGGTGGGGAGGAGTGGTGGAGAGAAAGGGGGAGGCAGACTTATTACTTAATAATGATCAAGGTACTGCACATGATGCAGTGGTATTAAGGACATCCTTATCTGAATCAGAATATCCTCAAAATATTCTCATAAAAAAGAACATGCCTTCCGATATTCTTATTCAAAAGAACACACCCCCATATATCTTCGTTGAAAAGAACATAGCCTCAGATACTCTTATCCAAAAGAGCACACCCTCAAAAAGCCATCTTTAGAAATCCTCATCTAAAACAGAACACCCTCAAATGACCTCAGCTAAAATACAACACCAACATAAATCTTCTCGTAAAAAGATGAAGAGCACACTTTCAGAAACCAACACACCTGGAGACAGCCTTAATATACTGCTGTAAGCTCACAAAACATCTTTTTTTCATTTTGACACCAAATCTTTTTTTTATTTGCTAAACTAAATCAAAAGCCTGATCAGTTACCATTTTCGTGTGAAAAATTCAAATTGAAACTGTAATTAGTCTTTTAATAAACTAGAATTCAAATTTCAAAATGACTCTATTTTTTTAATGGTTACTCTGACAAAAAGCCTCTTTTTCTCGAAACTGTCGAGAAGGAAAAATAAGGCATTTTGTCAGCTTATGGCAGTATAGTACTACACACCCACCAAAGGCCACTACACGCCACGGTCAATGATGTACGCGCCTCACCTTTTAGGCCTGTAGTTGGCGTCGTTACGGAGATCCTTGAGCGTGAAGCGACTGCGAGACCGTTCTTCCGGGGAATCGAATCTCTGGGAGCAGAGAACAAAATTAATTTCAGACAGGAAAATATATACATTAGCATTGTTACAAGACACAATGGCAGTATATAATCCACTAAACTGACAGTCTGATCAAGGCAGAGGACATATAGAGGGTCGCCAAGTAAACTATTGTAAGTCATGTTTTCAAATTTTACAGGAGAGACAAAAATTGGATTTCTTTAAAGCGTTTTGGGTGGATAAATTTCATTTTCATAAGGGAGCCTAATGTCTGTCATGGCACTTGTAGGGTCCCATGTGAAAATGAAATTTATCCACCCAAAACGTTTCAAGAAAATCCGTTGGTTTTTTTTGGTCTCTTCAGTAAAATTTGAAAAACACAACTTACCATAGTTTACTTGGCGGCCCTTGATATGACAGTTGTAAAAAGACACATGTTTGCTAGTCTGCCCTTAGAACAAGACACATGATAATCTAAAAAAAACCCAAACACACATGAGGTTCTGACGTCACAGCAAACCACCCACCATGTGTCTGTCTGGAGTTCGTTGTCTGTCTTGTGACTTTTTGGACTTTTTTGCTGAAGACCTTCCCTCTCGGAGTCTGAAAGGCGAATGAGAAAAGCTGTGAGATGTCACTAGACTGAGAAATGTGACGTACCCACATGTTCTGGGCTGATATGACAAATGAGAGATAAATATGTGCGCTGTGTGTGTGAGTATATGTGTGTGTAATAGATAAATAGTATTTGAGTAGCCCATATCCCCTCTATGCGTTTTACAATATACATTATCCATATCACATCAAAGTAATAGTAATAATGATAATAATAATAATAATAATAGTAATAATAAGCGCTTTACATTTACAGAAAAAAAGCAGCAACACGTGAATAGTTGGCCTTATATTGAGTTGGGACTTACAAATCTAAAAACGTAAATGATTCGAGCTGACTTATGAAAGCATTAAAAGATTTCATCTCTCTTAAATAACTAGGCTGTGCCTTCTAGATTTTAAGGTCGATGCCCTTTCAACCTCTGTTTTACGTTTCATTGATGGTAATAGTAATTTGTTTTGTTTTGGTAAGCTGATGACCTTCAACTGCAAATTGGAATGTGCAGTTTCAACAGATTTGATGAATATATGATGGTGAAATTAATATTCAAACATTCAACTGATGATCTCCTTAACTTAAACTGCAAATTGGAAAGTACAGTTTCAACAAGTTTCATGAATATGATAGTGCATTAACATTCAGGCATTCATAGCATAGTTAATACAGCATGCTCCGAAGACCTTCAGTTGCGAGCACTGTAAAACTCTTACTAAAAACTAGTTTTAAAAAATTAATTTGTAAATACAGATACAGGAAATTACAGAAAGAAAAGAACCCCCCCCCCCCCACCCCCCGTATACCCCCCAAAAAATTTAAAAATCACAGCGCATATAGATTCAAACTAGCAACAGCACAAACAACGGTCTGCCCCTCACTTCTTTGCTTTGTGTCCACCCATCTCCTCTGTCGTTGCGTAAGCCACAGTATCTTTAGGGACATGGTTCGAACCTGCGCCGGCGTTTGCCAAATTCTTCTCCTCCTCCTTCTGGGCCTCTCTCCGGAGAGAATCATAGTACTCATCAAGGAATTTGAAGATACCTACATGGAAAGAGAGATAGAATCAGTGAAATGTGAGATTACAGACAGGATGAGCCAAGTTTACAAAGAGAGCAAGATAGAATGAGTGAAATATGAAAAAAGAAAAAAGAATGAGTGAGAAATTATTAAAAGAGGCAGAACAAGTGAAATGTGAAACAGAGAGAGAGAGAGGGGAGAGAGAGAGAGAGAGAGAGAGAGAGAGAGAA